GATATGATCTCACTTTAAGATTCAAAAAAAAATCTAGGGTTTAGAATATACAAAAGCTTGCTTGGCAAGTTCTGAATAGAGAGTTAACACGAACTTTTAATAATATTATGTAAAGAATTATTATCTAGAAAACTAGAAAACTAAACAGGACCAAGGTGTTTGACAAAAACAGTATATTAATCAGGCTACCAGATAACTAGAGAAAAAAATCACCCTTTTAGACCATTTGAATTAGAAGTTTAAGAAACTAAAAATATATTAGATAGACCATAAAGTAGATACTAAAGATTTGGGTAAATTCTACAAAGGCAGAAGTAGGTAATAGTAATAGCTTTAGCTTGCAAGTATTTGTCTTTGAACTCAGTATAAGTTATCAAAATCTAAGTTAACCAGATTGCAGATATAAAAAGCTCTAGTGATAATGTCTTAAGAATAAACCAGTTCTAAAAGAATAGAAAAAGGATTCAGAACTTCTTGACTAATAAATGTAACAAAGATGTACTGATTATACAAGTAGATTGCATTACAAAAAGTTTAAATAAATAATCTTCTAGTTAGATTATAAGTATAGTATCTAGTATAGTCTCTACAGTATAATGTTATTATGTAGGCTACTTAAATAAGCAACCAAAAGTTGTATATATAGCTAGTTGTATTCTTTAATGTAATAGAGGTTCTGTTGTAAGCCTTCACATCTAATAACTTGAATAAAAACCTTAGTCCTAAAGAGACTAGTTAACAAAAAAAATTTTAAACATGTGATTTTAATAGTATATCAGTTTGCAACTAACATATCTCCGATTACAATTAATACACATTAGATAACAAATCAACAAGTAATATACATTATCTAAAATCAGTATTTGATGTGTATTAGATTAGATTCAACACAAAATGCATCTGAGACACAATATATAGTCGACTCTCTCTAAATACATTGTATTGAAACCAGACTTTTAGTAATATGTATTAAGAGAATAATTAAGAAAAATGCATTTATAGAGATCAAATATATATGTGAGCCCCAAATTTAAACCTGTATTTAGAGAGAATATGCATTTAGAGAATATGCATTTAGAGAGTATTGACTATATATCATGAAAATTAAATAAGTACAAATCTGCAAAAATCTGTTAAAATACAGATTTTGCAAAATTTTTATAAAAAATTTGTAAAATTTTTAAATTTGAAGTTTTTTTACAGAATTGTATTTAATTTTCTCCAGCTATAGCTAGCAGAGTTGTAGATTTACACAAATTTTTATTTAATTTATTATTTACTTTTTTGCAATTTTGTGCAGAACTGCACTAAAAAAATTTTCTGATATATATATAATATTATTTACAAATAAATTTTTTTTAAACATTTCTCTATATTGTATTAAATTGTTTTAAGTTAAACTAAACTTTAAATACTATTAATTAAATATATATTATATATAAAGTATTTTTACAATTCTTTAAAATTTGTAAAATATATATATTATTTTAATATTAAAGTAACCACTTAGAGGTCTGGCATATTTTATTAACTTTGGTTGTGAATGCCAGAGTAGCTACAGAACTATCCTTGACTTTGTTATTATAATACACTAACCAAAGTACCTCTTTTTTGCATACTCTACTCAAAATATCCAGGTACTTTATATAGCATTTTTTTTTTAACTGTAGATAATACCCAGGTATTTTGCATAGCATTTTTCATATTAACACATATTGATTTCTGCATTACATATATAAGACTATACAAAGTACCCCTATACAAGATACCTATTATCAATTAAGATACCCATAGATACTTTATAAGTTTTTTTTAGTTAGATTGTATTGGACCCAAGTACTTTGGACAGTACATTAATGAAGATATATTCTAGCTATACCTGCACTTTTTAAATGCTTAATTAAATATCTACCTATTATTATATTCTACACTAGATGCTATATCTATAACCTACTATTACTTGAGCTACCCAATTAAACTCTTTGATCAACTTAGCACCGACAGATATTCTCACCAAAAAGGAACTGCTGCTAAGGTCCTTTAAACTACTTTATTCTTGTGGTAAACCTACTAGAGTGATCCATATCCCACACATATATAATCTAGATTTCGGTAACTTATGGCTAGGCCAAGACCAAGTATTTGTAGCATTTTACCTCTATTACTATCACTTACTTCTTGCCTTTATAAAGTTCATCCAAATCTCAATACCTACTTTATGGACTATTACTGACTTTTCTAGCACATTAACAGCATTCTTAAACTTCTAATTCAGATAGCTCAGAAGAAACTTGCATCCTTTAGTATTTTGATGAATCCTTTTCTCTGTATATATATGACCTGGTTAGTGTAATGTCTTGCCAAACACCTAGTTCTCATTTAGTTTTGCTATTAAGTTCGATTGCTGATAATTATCCTTTATATAGTACCATTAAAGATCTGTGCTACCTCTCTATTTAGGACTTGCTAAGTAACTTCAATATGCCTAATTCTCTGGATTTACCTAAATATATCACTTTGATTTTGTGTAACTCTTGCATTACATTACTATTCTGCATCTTCTCAGTACAAGCTGATACAACCAAGGTTACAGGTATTGACCTGTTAGATTATACACAGTCTGCTGTAATACATTCTGTAAAATTCGAATTTCATCACTAGTAGGATTCGAACTCTTGTTCTGCCACTTGAAGTGTGATAACTTATCAACTTCACTAAGTTGCTATACTCTAAATTTGCAAAATATCAAACATCTAATAAAAACTAAAATATAAATTTTTTAAAAAAACAATAAAATTTTTAAAAAATTATAAAAAATAATAATAATTAATATTTTATTAAATAATAATATAGCCAATTCAAATAAAAATTTAATGCTTACTATTCTGAAATATTTTAAAAAAATTATTAAACAAAATATAAACAACATTATAAAAAATTTGGTAAAAAAATATGAATATCTATAAATACATCAGAATAATTTTTTATAAATATTTGATTGATATATTAAATATAAATATAAACATTATTTGAATTAATTATAAATTTTTTTTGTTATTAACTATTTTTAAGAAAATGTAAAAGCTAGATACAGATTAGGAATACTTTTTAATACAGAAAAACAGTACAGTAATTAATTATTATATATAAATATCAAGAATACAATAGTATAAAAAAAATTTGTATCTAATAGATTCTAATACAATTGTTATACAAACTATTTATATAGACAATTGAAAATTTGATATATCATTGTAATCTAAAAACTGGCAATTTTACTGTTTGCTTATCTATAATAAGTTAAACTGAAGATATCATATTTATTAATAATTTTTTTTTTGCTTAGAGTATTACTAGTAGAAAATCTTTTCTAATTATTTTTAATCACCTTCCTCATGGAGTTTTCATAAGAATAAAGGTAAACATTTAGTAATTGACAGAGTTTTTTAAGTTTTTACTATGTTTAAATTATTAAGCCAAATCTTAGATTTATAAAATATTAAAATGTGAAGGTTATACTAATATAAGATTTTACACATTTATTAAATAGGCCAAGCAATATAAAGCTTTTAGCAAGGGTTATTTATTCGAATAAAGAGCATATATATATATTATTTATCAACTGGATAAGAAAACTAAGACCTCTAATGTATAGTAAATATAGTAATGCGGGTCTAATTAAAAGTATAGTCCAAGAGTGATAACATATGATACCCTGTTTTTGGTAAAGTATAATAGTTAAAAGATGGGTTAGTATTACTTTAGCTTTAAAAAAATCTTCACTTTTGTTATTAATAAATTTATTTCGTTTCATTTCGCGTATCGAAAAAATTTTAATTGGTGTTAATTGGTCAATAGTCACGCATGGATCACACAAATGTTATCCCTTTAAACTATTTTCCAGGCAAATTTGCCTGGAATTTTTAAATTATTTGATAAACATTATTGTAGCACCAAATCATAATAAGTAAAACCTCTAACGCATGATTTTCTAGGACTGGGAGAATCTGACCAATCATTTGATAATAAAATTTCCAGGCAAATTTGCCTGGAAAACAGTAAGGGGTTCATTTTTTGTATAAATTTAAATAAATGTTTAAGATCAATGATCCTAAGTTAGTGTTGTTACCGTTACATTAATGCTAATTTAGGATTGTTGATCTTAAACATTTATATCAACTTTTTTTAAGAAAATCGTAAACTGTTTTCCAGGCAAATTTGCCTGGAAAATTTATTATCAAATGATTGGTCAGGTTCTTCCAGAAAGTAGCGTTAACGAACATATGTATATATATGCATACGTACCAGATGACCATGATATTGCAAGTGTTGGGCACGATAACTACTAAAATAATAATGCCTGTGACTTGTGCAAAACTAGGTTATGACGCAAATATAAGCCCACCAAAATCCACTTATACTCTATTATCAAAACTATCCATAAGTCAAATATTAAAAAAAAACTAAAAAAAATGCATCCCCAAAATTTTTGAAAATTTCATATTAAAATTTCCCCGCTTCAGGAGTGCAACCAAAAAAGAGAAATTGATATTATAAATTTTATAACAAATTATAAGAAATTACAATTTTCAAAGAACTATAGTGTAAGATTTTATTAATACAACTGAATTTGTATCTTAAGTAAAAAATGATCCTGATATTATTATCAAAAACTAGCCCATATATCCACATGAATTTGATTCTAAAGTTTGTAATTTACTAAACTTTACGGTTGTTTTTATCTAGTTGGATCGTTGAATAAGGAATAAAGATAATACTATACTCATATCTTGCATATTTTTATATTTCTTGATTCTCATGAACAATTATGATTTTTTTTAATATTTCGAATTCTCATTTTTTGACAAACAGTAAATGTTTACATTTTTTGAGAAATGTTTATAATATAAGTTAATATATTATTTATTTACACATTATCATTAATAATATAGGTGAATTTACAAAATATTACATAACAGCAAAATTGGAAAAATCAAATATTATTTTCTGTATTTCTTAATTTGATCATAATATTTCAATTTTCTTTTAAGCCTATTTTCTACTTTATTCCTTCTCATAACGCGTTCTTCTTCTGTTTGCTTCATTAATTCTTTTTCATATTTACTTTTTTCTTTAAAAAATTTTTTTAAGTACTACTAAATTTTATACAGTAAAAGATTAATATTAATAATATTTACCAAATTGTAATTCTTTATTTTCTCATCAGTTTCAATAATTTTTTCTTCTAACTCATCTTTAGAAAAACCTTGGATTGGTGATTTTTCTTTTAGGGAATCGTTTGGGAAATTGTTTGCGGATGAGTTATCTGATTCTATTTTGAAGAACGAGAAGAATGGTTTGACTGTTCTTTTATTTTGTAAAAAAAAAATAATAATAATAATTTATCATATTATAAGGGATGATGCATCATCATACTTTACTGATTTGTGACGTTTCAGAAGACAAAATCAAATTTTAATTTTCAGTTATTAAAATAACAACGTAATTTTTTAATACAATATAAAAAAATTATATTTTTCTTCGCGACATCTGAGCATTTTAAGCTTGATATAATTGACTCCAATTTGTATAGTTTGATACATTCTTTTTTGATATATTCAAATAAATTATTAATGATCTAAGCAGTACAGAGTATTTGTATAAGTGAAGAATCATCAGATTTGATCTATAAAACTGCCACAATGTTCTTTTTAAGGGGTGAGATATCATAACGAATGATATTTTTAATGACAGTGTTATGTCGGGTTTACTGTACTAACTTCCAAAGTTTTATATTGGTCGTGAGTAAATTGCATTTCTGTGATGACATTTTAGTAAATCCATTATGTTGGTATATTTAAACCATTTTTTATTTACTTTATTTTATTAATGGGTTTTTTTATGTCTTGATCAAAATTAATGTTTTCTTCCTTGCATAATTCTATTGCTTCTGTGTTTTTATTTTTAGCTGCTGATATTAATAATTTTTTACCTTTCTCTTTATCTACTGGAACCTTAAATTTACCAAAATAATAAATGTTACCTAAATTATATTGAGCTATATTGTTACCATTTTCAGCGGACTGATTAAGATAATTAATAAATGCTTGTATGTCTTTTATAGTTTTATTTTCTATTAATAAAAATGCATAACGCAATTGAGCACCAGCAATTCCTTTATCAGCTGCTTCTTTATATAATTTTGATGCTGTATCTTTATCTTTAAGGCCACCAATACCTTGATTCAAATAATAACCATACCAGTAAGTTATTAACTCATATACTTTATGATATTCCTCAAGGAATTTTCTGTTTTTCCTTTCTATTGTTAAGCGTTCTTCTGACTTTGAGTCCAACTTTCTTCTATTCTTATGGTTAATAAGAAACTCATGATCAAATTTGTATATGATTATGTCATAAGCTGTTGGAGACTTCAATCTTGTTGAATTTTCTTCAATTTTTGCATAATGATATTCTGGAATAGTATTTTCGTCCATTTTATCTTCTGAAAATAATTATAGTTCTATAAGCTCCTAAAGAAGGTTTAAACACAAACTTTTATTTTTTTGTCAAAGTTTAAATACAATCTTTTTATTTTGTTGCAAAACAATGCAATTTAGTAAAATCCAATGATGTAAATTATTTTCTGTATCAAATTTTAATAACTTATAAACTCAATTCAAAATTGAATAAAACCTTAATATTTTTTTAATTGAATGTTTTTGTGTATTGTTACAATAAGGATAAGGTAATAATTTTCGTTCAAAAGAAAAAAAAATTTAATAAAATCGATTATTTTGAGTTTTTTATTTCAATGAAATCATTGACAATTACAATTACCATTACTAACTTTAAACCGGACTAACCCTAACTTCAATTCGGGCTAAACAACTAAAAATTCTAGTTTATGTCTTTTCAATTAATATGTCACATTTATATTGACTGATACAACTAATTTGTTTATATTGTATGCTTATAAATTGGCAATTGCTTATTATTATTGTTATTAAATTAATGACATAATCTATGACCACTTATACAATATCAATATAATATACCAAGTGAGCATAGCGGGCTTTCATTGTAATTGGCTGATTTTTGTAGATTATCTTGTAATATTGCAAAAATATCATTGGTTAATCAAATTATTCGCAAGGCAATATTTTATACGAAACTAATTACCGTAACGACT